CCTCTCTTTGGAATGGGCAAAAATACAGATCTCTTCCAATCAGTCGGCCAGATAGTTGTCTTCCAAATTTCTTGGCAGAGATGAGTGACTGCCTCCTGTGCCGCCTCACTTTCTTGAAAGATTTCAATTTTTATTCTTTCAATTCCTGGTGCCCTGTTCTTTGCCAATTTCTTCAATGCACCTTGGACTTCCTCCTTCAGTACCATTGGCTCTTGATTACATGCTACCTCTTGAAATGGTTGAACATCAACCATTACCTTTTGGTACAGTGACTTTGTGTATTTCTTCCATCTTCTTTTGATGCTTTCTGCATCGTTCAATAATTTGCCCAGAGAATCCTTCAATAACAAAAATCATGGGTTGAATTTTTTCTTCAGTTCCCCCAGCTTGAGAAATGCTGAGTGTATGTATTTTTCTGGGTAGTTAGAAGTTTTTCCTTTTTACAAGGCTTCAGTTTTTGGTGGCCCACAAAATTACTAGACTTTATATTTCAACATAGGGAATCTTTGCCATTTTATCAGATTATCAAGAAACTAATTTCACTGAAACACTGATAGAGCAACTCTAAGATTCTCCCCTTAAAACATCTACTTCAATGCCAGTATCACCACAAGCACTAAAAGAGTCTTGGGGTGGTGTTGTAGGATAATGCACTGAATCGAAGGTTGGTTTGAACCATAAGGTCAACGGTTTAAACCCACCAGCTACTCTTCAGAGACAGAGTTGCTATGCGTTAGAACCGCCTCAGTGAGACTTAACGACTACAGGATTATCTCCTTAAAACAGTTACTTCAGTGCCTGTAGTACCACAAACATTAAGGAAAAGCATCTAAGTGATACACTGAGGTTGAAACTGTCCAAGCTATTGCTATTGGAAACTCTTAATCTACCTCTGTTCTGTCATGGTGACACTGTGGGATAAGCACTGAGCTGCTAACTGAAAGGTCAGCCATTCAAACCCACCAGTTATTCTGTGGAAGATGGGACTGTGCACTCCTGTAAAGATTTGCAGTCTCAGAAATGTAAGGTTGCTATGAGTTGAAATCTATTTAATGGCAGTCAATTTAGTTCTGGGTTTTGCTCTTGGATAGATTTCTACCACTAGCATCAATGGCTGCACAGTTTTATCCTCAGAGTTCACAGAGACAGTTTTCCTGTAAAATCTTTTCAGAATATTTTATGCATATCTATGGATGAACTCTTTCCAGAATCATCCTCTTCAAAAAGACGATCTAGTCTCACCTGTGAGGGCTCTGGTAGCGTAGTGGTTATGAGTCAGGCTGCTAACCTCAAGGTCAGCAGCTCAAAACTACCAGTCATTTCATGGGAGAAAGATGAGGCTTTCTGCTCCCGTAAAGGTTTACAGCCTCAGAAATCCTATACAGGGTCTCCATGAGTCAGATCTGACTCCACGGCACACCACCACCACTACCACCACCACCAGTCTCAACTTTTGGGTCAAACTTTAATCATAATAATTTAAAAGATTGTGATAGGAAAACATTAATACAGCAATAAGGGAAAACATGCAGTGGTATTCACTAAAATTCAAAATACAATAACAGTAGAAAAAATTTGTCACTTAAAGCAGCCGCATTTCAATGTTCTCCCCAACTCCAAAGATCAACAATCCTCAAATAATATCCTCAAATATAGTTATATACTAAACTATATAATGCATAAATTACAAATACATAAAATGTATATATACATGTATATGATTGAGAGTATGTGTGCATTTCTATTTATACACATATGAGAGCGCTTCAGAAAGTTCATGGAAATTTTTCATTAATTCCATTTTTTCATGAATTTTTTGAATCACCATGTGTGTGTGTGTGTGTGTGTGTAGGTATTTTTATATATAATTGTTGTTGTAAAATACCATCAACATGATGATGATGTTAAGTGCCATTGAGTTGGTTCCAACTCATAGCGACCATGTATAGTTTCCAAGGAGCAGCTGGTGAGTTTGAAATACCGACCTGTGGTTCAAATTGACCTTGTGGTCCAGTGCTTTATCCTACAATACCACAGCAGGATCCCTACACATATGTATGATATATACTCATGTATATCATTTATTTATCTGACATATATAATAAAAAGGAGGGGGAAATTACTCTACAGGGTATTGGTATCTTGCACTTTATCTCACCTTGTATTTGAAAAACTTGGTCCCAGTTGATAACATCACGTTCTTCCAATAAATGTCTGTAAGCCCTGGCATCCTTGTAGTACACAGCATAGGCATTAGTATAATGGTCCAGGTTATCTGTCTCAGCCTAGGACAGAGGACATAATTATAAAAACTGGAAGCATATCCTAAACAGGTTAGATACATTAGCAGGGTATGTCCAGATAGTTTCTATCACCAAAATTAATAAAGAAGCAATGGCTAAGCGAGACTGTAGCTAATATAGTCTACATTAAGGGGAAGAAAAGAAATCTTGAAACTTTTGATTGGTTCATATTCAGGGAAGATATTCCATCCATTTAAAGAGGATTTAAGATATTTATCTCATCATTTTCTGGAATTGATCTAGAAAGGAATTTTATTAGTTGACTACTCTCTCTTTCTTTTGATCTATATATCTATCTATACATGTATATATGAAATATGAAATATATACATGTATAGATAGGTATATAGATAGAGAGAGAGAGAAAGAGAGAGAGATTCCTGTTGTGGCTCTGTAGGATAAGCACTGGCCTGTTAACCACAAGATTGGCAGTTCAAACCCACCACAGGAACCTTGGAAGCCCTATACAGGGTTGCTATGAGTCAGAATCAACTTGACAACATTTAACAACAGCAGCAACAATTTGTATATAATTTATAAATTTATAAAAATAAAAAGGGTATAACTCAATAGACCCATCTCGAAGAATTAAGAAGTCTCAGAATTATCTTTATGCAATCACGGGAGCTCAACTTTGACCTCTTGAACCTCTCTGTCTTTGGCTCACTTGAGCCTAAGAGGCAGAATCAGGTGGGTGGTGTGTTTAAACTTGTTCCATATTCATCCACATAAAACCAAAGTCATGGATAAGCTAGTCTGTAAAAACCAAACATGAGCGCTTCATGCTTCTAGCTAGTATGAAGTACTATGGAAATGAAAATGCTTAGAGCGTAGTGCTTTCCTTGTGTCTGACACTCTAAAACTAGTCCAGTTAGGAATAGTAAAATACGTAGCTTGTTAACCTATATATATGCTAGTATGGTTAACACTCCCTTTCACCTATCTTTCTTCTCAGTTGATGCCAACTCTGTATTTTTTTGCCTTTCAAAACTGTACCTCTCTCCGCCTCCGGGTGATGACAGCTTTGAAGTCTGGCCATGAATCCAACACTACTTCCTTTTGAAAAGGATTTCCACGGTTTATATTCATCACAGCTCCATAAACCTGAATCAGAGAACCCGGAGAGACAAGTAAATCATACTACTTAATTGTTTCACTTACATGTTACCCTTTTCACTTCTTGTCCTATTGTACAATCATACCCTTGAAAGGAAATCATGTGTACACAGACACACAAGGTTAAGCAAAAAAGTACTGCTAGTAGGGTTCAGTACATACATATACAGGTTTGTTTCACTCAAAATGTATTTAAATGTGTCTCTGAGATCATTGGATGGCTGCAGACAAGTTCTCTCAGTAATACACTTGTCTTAGTTTTGTTAGGGTGCCTTCAAAAAAATAAAAGTTCAATCCAAATATTGGACGGTGACTTCCAGTTAAATTCTAGATAAAGAGATCAGCTCACAGGGTTATAGAGACTTTTGGGGGTATTTCAAAACGGGTACTTTTCATAGGTTTTCTCACATGACACAGGACAATCTTGGAGAACTTTTAAGGAAATTGAAATGTGCATTGGCCAAAAAAAGGCCAGGGAAATTTTTGTAAAGTAAGTTTTTTGTTTTTTTCAACCTGACAATGTACCCGCTATTTTTCAAAGGTACCAAGGGCTAGCCTATGAGAATTTCACACAGAAATCTTATCCCATCCACCTACAGCCCTGCAGGTGGATGGGATAAGATTTTTTGTACTCTCCAAAATACAAAGAACATTTAAAATAAATACAATTTATATCCTTCAAGGATGCCAAAAATTCGTTTTCACATGGTGTAAATTGAAAAGCGCAGGATTCTTTGGGCAACCACTAAAGAGCTGGCAACACCAGCGTTAGAGGTATATAAGCCTGATGGAGGATATGTGTCACATCTTGATATTTTTGTTTAATAAAAGTTGCTATGTTTAATAAAGGTTTCTATGATTTTATAACATTACTTTTTTACTTACCCTCTTCCATAACACACACATATAAAACATCTTTATTAGTTCATCAGTGCACATAAAGCTGGTACTAATTATATGAAATCCTATGAAAATGCTTCCCAAACCTTTATTTTATTTATACTACAATAGTAAAAGATAGCAAATTGATAGATTTAATGGCTTGGCAATTAGTTTATAGGTAAACAATAAATACTGAATGAATCAGAATCCGATGTGTGGATTTGAGACTTATGCATCTTAAAAAGTTCCTCAGATAATTGGGATGCTCAGCTATGCTATCTGATAGCATTTGAAGTACTATCTCATAACAACACATGAAATGCACCTAACACCTTCAACATTAAGTTCTAGTTAAATGCCATTTAGGGGTAAAACAATACCAGAATAACATTACAATTCTCTTCTGTGGCCTTTCATATTTGTTTCTGTGTAAAGAAGAAAATTTATTTGCCCTACAGTATAAGTTTCATATATGATATGAATGTTTTACAGGTTGGAGAAAGTTTGGAAGTAAAGGGGATAGCAGTAGGTGAATGTTCAACCTGAAACAATTCTAATGCACAGCAACAGTCAACTGGATAAGTTATGAACTATTCATACTCTGGCATCCTGGTGTAGTGCTGTGGGATAGTGCACTGGATTGCCAGGTCAGCCTGAACCACAAAGTTGGTAGTGCAAACTTACCAGCAGTTCCTACGAAACCCTACACAGGGTCGCTATGAGTCGGAACCAACTTAACAGCACTGAACAACAACAACCTTCATGCTATGGATTGCAAGACAGCAAAGAAAATGAATAAATCACCAGCACATGACTCAGAACAGACTTGATAGCATTTAACTACAACAACAACAATAATTTGAAGTATAGAAGCCCTAGTGGTGCAATAGTTAAAGTGCTTGTCTGCTATCTGTGATCTGAACACACTAGCTCATCCTAGAGAGAATAGCCTGGAAGATCTGCCGCCCAAAAGATTTCTTGTTGTTGCTGTTAAATGCTTTGCTGTTCAAACAGACCTTAAGATCAGCACATTATCCTGCAGTGCCGCACCAGGACTCCCATAAAGATTGTTGTTGTTGTTGTTATGTGCCGTGGAGTCAGTTCCGACTCATAGCCACCCTGTACAGGGTTTCCGAGGCTGTAAATCTTTACGGGAGCAGAAAGCCTCATCTTTCTTCCGTGGAACAGCTGGTAGTTTCGAACTGCTGACTTTGCGGTTCGCAGCCCGATTCGTAATCACTATGCTACCAGAAAGCCCCATAAAGATTACAGACCAGGAAACCTTGGAGCACAGAACTCAAGGAAATTCTGTCCTGTAAGGGTCACTATGAGTCGGAATTGACTTGAGGGCACACAATAACAACCATGCAGTGCTGAGTAGTATGAATTAATCTCACAAACATAATTGTGAGCAAAAGAAGCTACATAAAAAAAGCTACTTATTGTATAATTCAATTTACATTTCATTCAAAAACCAGGAAAACTCAAATGTGACTTTAGAAGTCAAGATAGTAATAGTTACATTTGGGGAGGAGGAAGAAGTAGTGATTGGAAGGTAGCTTGAAGGGAAGGAAAGTGTCTGCAGTAATGTTTTTGCTCAACCAGAATAGATGTTACACACGTATTTGCTTTGTGAAAACTCATTGAACTGTATAATTATTTTGTGTGCATTTACCAGTATGTATTATACCTTAATGAAAAAACTTCATATTTTATCTCCTTTATCACTGTATTAATCCTTTTCTTAGCCATATGATTCTAAATTATTGCTCAGATTTTCCCCATCACATTCAATTTAAGCACAATCAATAAGTAAGATGACCAGATTTAATCAGGGCAAACAGTACACTAGAGGGCTTTCTCCAGAACACTTTTGTTCAAAATTGAATGTACTTAAGGATTTCTCTGGGAACTAGTTCAGAATTCAGGTCTCTGATCTCTATCTTCTGCTTCATTATGTATCTCTTGGGTAATTTGCATGTCACTTACCTTGGAAACCACTGTCTTATACTGCCTCTTTGCTTAAGAAATTCAACCCTTAAAGACACATTCATTGCAGTCCTTACCTTTCCCTGAAAGTGCTAATAGGTCTCAACTTACATTTACTTGTAGTAAATTAATGTCACCTTCCATAGTAGCCCTCAGTTAGCAGCAGGTCTTCTAAGACTTTAAGAAAACCTCAACATATAGAAACTTGATGAACAATACAGTCACTAAAAAACAAGTCTTTTAAATAAAGATTTTGAAATAAGCTGAAAAAAAGGTTGAGAGTCTCCAAATTTAATTTCCATATTTACCTAACCCCTAAGGAGCTCTGGTAGCGTAGTGGTTACGAATCGGTCTGCGAACTGCAAGGTCAGCAGTTTCGAAACTACCAGGTCCTCCGCGGGAGAAAGATGAGGCGTTCTGCTCCCGTAAACATTAACAGCCTCGAAAACCCTGTGGAGGGTTGCTATGAGTCGGAAGCGACTCCACGGCACACAACAACACTCAACCACAACCTTCTGACAAAAACAAAATAAAATAAAGTCAAATTTACTGTAGTAGTAGTCCAGCTCAGTATAACCTAAATTCCTCTAAGAATCATCTGTGGTGACTCTCAGGAACAGAATTCCCTGGACCTCATCTATAATTGTGGCTCTATAGGACAAGCACTGGCTGGAGCCCGCCAGCCACTCTGCCTGATAAAGATAAGACTTTCTGCTCCCACGGAGATTTAAAGCCTCCGAAACCCTATACAGCGTCTCTATGATTCAAAGCTGACTCCATGGCACTTAACAACAACAATAACATCCATAATTCAATGAACCATTCTGTAGCAGGAAGACCTGGGAAGTTGTATGTTTAACAAGTGCCCCTAAAAATCTTACCATCAGAAAAAATTAGGAACAGTCATCAATTTGACATTATTTCACAGGTAAATTAAATAATAACATAACTCTCGAGTTTAGAGTACCTTGAGTGATTCAGGAAAGTGATTCTTCAACATTTTCTCCAGCATTAGCAATTTGTTGGAACAATTTAATACCATCATCTTTTCCAGAGTTCTTGTAGTTCCACACCTAATTAGAAATGTGAAAGTATACATTTAATTTCTGTCTGTTAGCTTTTAATCTATTTAGGCATATGCTGCTTTTTTTGTGATCCTGTTTTTACTGGATCTAATTCTGACAGCCACCATGCTCTCTGAATTGAGAAAAAAGGAAGACAGAGAGGCACTGGGATGGATAAATCAGAAAACACACAGGAAAGGAGAGTGCTAAACTCTGAGAGCATAGTGGTTAAGTGTCTGGCTGCTAATCTCAAGGCCAACAGTTTGAAACTACCAGCCATTCTGTGGGGGAAAGATGAGGGTTTCTGCTCTGGTAGAGATTTGGTTGTGTGCCTTGTAGTAAATTCTGACTCATAGATACCCTGCCCAGGGTTTCCGAGGCTGTAAATCTTTACGGGAGCAGAAAGCCTCATCTTTCTCCCCAGAGTAGTTTCAAACTGCTGACCTTGAGGTTAGCAGCCTGACTCGTAACCACTACACAGATTTACAGCCTTGGAAACCCTATACAGGAACCTACTCCATGGCAGACAATCACCAAACAATGACCTAATCCTGGAAAGATGTGATTATCGCCACTGAGGTAAATGTCAGTGTTGTGTACACATTCTTTGGACCTTAAGTGCTTTCTACAAGACTTTCCTTAATTCAAGCCTGTTTCCTTGAGTGGTCTGTGAAGTACATAAAAACCATGTCTGCTTTGTGCTCCGCTGTAAGCCCAGCATCTGGTACATAGGGATACTCTAAATATTTGTTGAATGCATGGTCTGAAGTTAAGGATAAGAATCCTAGGGTAAAGGAAGGACATTTCTTTTTCACAGTGTGAGTTGAAGAACAAAGAAAGGCTTGAATAGGTCAGGTAGTTTCAAGGAACAACTTGGAGAGAGATGAAGAGTCAGATGAGGTATAAGTTGTGACTAATTTAGACAAGATAACATTAGGAAACTATACAGTTTAGTTATAATACATGCTACCTCATTCATTCACATGTAATTAAATATTCTAGATTTGGTGGGGTCTGGGAGTCCTGGTGTGGTGCTGTGGGTTAATGAGCCAAACTGCAAAGCCATTTGAATTGCAAGGTCAGATGTTCAAGCTCACCAGTCGCTCCTTGGAAACTCTATACAGGGTTGCTATGGATTGGAACCGACTCAATGGCACTTAACAACAACAACTCCTGCTTTGTTTTCAAGAAAATTTCTTTTACCAATATTTCAATCTGGTCTTAACTCAATTAGAAACTTTTTTTTCCATATTAAATGTTGTAAAGTTCATCAATGTACTTTTTTTCCCCCTCCCTTAAATTGTATTTATTTTGTTGTTGAGAAAATATAGAGTTAAGCATACACCAAGTCAACAATTTAGGGACATGGATTACAGATTTTTTCAAGTTGTACAACTATTCTCACCCTTCTTTTCTGAGTTGTTTCTCCCTCATTAATATAAACTTATTGCGCCTTAAGGTTCCTATTTAATCTTTTGAGTTGAGTTGCTATTGTCAAATTAAGAGCATCATGCTCCAGGCAGATCTTTTTCTTTGTTTCTTTTTTAACCAAACCAAACTATCGCTCAGTTTTAAGATCATCCATGGTGTCCTAGTGTGGCTCTGTGGGTTAAAGTGCTGGACTGCAATATCAGTTTGAACCAAAAGGTTGACGGTTCAAGTTCACCAGCTGCTCCTGGAAAACTCTATACAGGGTTGCTATGGGTCAGAACCAACTAAATAGCACTTAGCAACAGCAACAACCTATACACTTAGTGGGCATGCGCTAGGATGGCAAAGGTAATTCTGCTAGATCTGAGAACCTTGTACTTCTGAGAGCTGGGATCATTCCTTTCCAACACATTTCCCAGACAGTGACAGTTACTTGATTTCTTTGTATGACATCCTCTGTGCCTACAAGATCCTCAGTGTTTGACTGCGATCTACCTGAAATTTATTGTAAGGCTCTATCATATAGTTTATATGATGGGAAATTACCAGAACTTGTAAGAAAAAAAAAGCCATGTTGTGAACAAAGTCTGTGGGTTCACTGTGTGTTTGTATCTGAGCTGTTTGTGTTCCATTTGGGAGTCAGAAGAGATAAGGGACATAACTGGAAATGTCATGAGGCTTCCCTACCCTCATGCTCACACTTTGGATCAATATTAGAAATTTGGAGATTAAGTTTCCAGATTTCAGGATGAGGAAAGAAAGAAGTCATGTCTTCACCCTTGTATCTGCTTGACTTTTCCCTCACTCACATCATCACATCCATCCATCAGTGGAGTCAGTCTGTCTTTCTAGTTGTTCCACCTCACTTATACTACACTCCTCCCAAACTCAAATTCTCCCTCTTCTTGACCACATCCCTCAGATCCCTGTTTATGCCATTCTTCAGTTTTCTTTATTTTTCAGATTCAACTCCCACCTCATTTTTGACCTGTGGAAATCTCTCAAACTCAAATATTAATTTCCAAACAACTATAATAAGGCCTCTGATCCAAAAAGTCAGATAAGTCCTCAACTCAAGCATCTTCCTTGGAACATTCGATGAAGCACCCTAATTTAATCAACGAGTTACTTATAGGTTGCTTTGCTTGTTGTTGCAAGGCCCTATCGCATGTGTACCAACTCATAGCAACTCAATGCACAGCAGAACGATCGCTGCCCAGTCTTTCACCAACCTCAGCACTGCTGTTATGTTTGAGCCCATTACTGCTGCCACTATGCCAATCCATCTTCTTGGGGGTCTTCCTCTTTTTCTCTGAACTTCCATTTACAAGTTGTTGTTGTTGTTAAGTTCCTTCGAGTTGGTTCTGACTTACAGCAACCCTGCATAAGGTTTCTAAGGAGCGGCTGGTGAGTTTAAACAGCCGAATTGTGGTTCAAACTGACCTTGAGATAGAGTGCTTATCCTATGGCATCACATCGGGACTCTACTTGAAGGCTAGAGAGGAGAATTTAGCCTACTTTAAACAAGAAACAACCCATCTTTAACATTTAAGAGAGAAAGAAAAAATATATCAAACATTTTCTTTAATCATCCAAAATAAGCAAAACAAAATGAGTCAAGGGATTTTTACTGCCCATTTTATGTTTTTGTTTTGTTATAGGACATGGAATATTAAAATCCTCATGTTAAACACACTCATTTATTATAATTCAGTATCTTTTGGCAGAAAATGATATGAAATTACTTCAAAAGGTAGTTCATCATATATCTCTCAATTATGTTTGGTGTCTTTTATGTCCTAATATTTAGCAAAGGAAATAGTGGAAAGAGTAGGGGCTCCATGCATTTGTTGATGACTTGATTAGTTATTACCTGGCTGGTTCCAGTTATAAAAAAAAAAAAAAATGCAAAGCATAGCAAGAAATACTAAACTTACATTAAAACTTCAGGCAAGGGGAAAATACGAGTAGAGACATGAACCTAATATGAAGTCAAAAGTGGGGTTAATATGCAAAATATATGGAGTACAGTCTATGAAAACAAGAGGTAAGGGCCAACTTGTGATTCAACGCTGTTTGGAACTAACATAAAGAGAAACAAACATGTTTAGTTACATGACTTGGGTTTTTTTTTTATACAGTTATCCTAAAACTTCTTAGTCTAGTATTTGTTTGACTTTTCATTTATGCCACCTCCAACTTTGTATAGTCACCCCCTTCCTTGTTCTGACATTAATCTACATTTTAAGCTAAGCTTCTGCAACTCACAGACACATTACTCATGGTGACAAGTTTTCCTGACATTAAAATCAGAGACATTTCTCCCATGGGTCTATACAGAGAGAGCATTACAATTAATGAACAACATTTCAGTAAATAAAGTGATGACATTCAAGTAGATGGTATTAACTACGAAGTTTTTATTGAATGCCATTTAAAACAGAATGCAAAATTCTCGTAGATGCAGAAAACGTTTTTTTAAAACACATTTTAAAATTATGTCATAAAATTATAATGGCAACCCTGTGCTTTGAAAGCTACAAGATCAGAATGCTGTATTTTCAACACTCAATTCTTTTGTTTTGTTTGTCAAGTGCCATCTGGTAGGTTCCAACTCAGAGGGATCCTAGGTAGGGTTTCCAAGGAGTGGTTGGTGGGTTTGAATCGCCGACCTTGTGGAGAGCAGTCCAGTGCTTATCCTACAGTATCACACCAGGACTCCCACTCAGTTATAAATGACTCATAATCAATCTATATTTTAGAATTGGAAAGTAAAAGTGTGTCACACCTTCATCCAAAACGAATACCAACAACAGACTCAATTTAAAATCAGTGGCATGAAAAATTATACTCATAAACTTTTTGGAATTAAAGTTTTTCCTGGGCTCTTGCATGCCCATTAACATACAGCAAAACACATAAAATATTTAGATGATGAATATAACCATACAATCAAAGTATGACATTCTCTTAGAATATTTTTTATTCTTATTAACAAATACAATAGCTCTGCTTTTATGGTGTTATATACCATTTATAATACAATTGTGACTTTTTTTAAAAACAAGGAAAAAAGTTCTTTTGCTTTGTTTATTTAAAGTATTTGTAACCCAATGCCAGTAAGTGTTTCTCCTAGCACAGTTTTTCCATTCAGAGACTTCCCTCTATCATATTCCATTGCAATGAATAGTTCCACATATCAAAACTTAAAAGAGTTAAACAAACACACACAAAAAATGTGTAGACTAGTACATCTTTCTTCTGAACCTAATCATAATTTACTCGTCCTATATAAGGATACATTTTATCTGTTCTCTATTGTCCCGTCTTTTCTGCAATTAGAAACCTGTTTTAGTGAATATATGCTTACCAGCTGTTGAAAGTTCAATCTGAAACTGAAGTCTTTGAGTCGTATACCAATGCAGTAGCTCTTTCCACATATAAATGGTGAGTCTATTCTTCATGCTTACTTTCTTAATTAATCCTTAGTGGGAGGAGGAGGAGGAGAGAGAGAGAGAGAAATGCCCACAATTGTAGAAGGGGAGGGGCT